TTCATGCATAAATCACATCAGTATTTAACCACAGTCTTCCATTTCTCATTTGTTCCTGAGATGTCAGGTTGACATTACTATTACAATATAAAATCCAAACAACTTTAAAAGTCCCACAGTCTTCAAAAACTCCAAAATTGTAAAAAAAAAACCCAAGTTCTCTTTAAGAATCCAGTGTCTCTTTCAAAGTCCAAAGTCTCTCAACTGTGGGCTCTTATAAAATAATAATAAAAACAAAATCCAAATTAAATACCTCTTGCTCCAAAGGGGAAGAACCATGGTACAATCACAATCAAATCAAAGCACATCCAAGCTTCGACAGTATAAAAAGTGCTTGATGTCTAGAATGTACTTACAGTTCTCTGGGCTCCTAAGTGCATGGACACCCCACTCCACTTCCCTGTCTCTGCCTGATAGAGAACAAATAGCATATTTCACAGACACAGGCCAGCCTTCACCTCACATCTGCTGCTGTCTTTTGCAGTGATTACAGATAGCTATGGTTATCTCCAGTGTCCTTGCGTCTCCATTGCTACTGACACTACACCCTCACCAGTGCCTCTCTTCAGGGCCCCAACCCTGCCACATAATGCAAAGCCTCAGCTTATCCCCACGATCCCTTCGTATCTTCAAAACCAGTACCACGTTGGGGAATGGAGAGATGATTCAGTGGTTAAGAGCATTTGATGATCTTTCAGAAGGTTGGAGATTGACTCCCAGTACCCACATGGTAGTTCAAAACCATTTCTAATTTCATTTTGAGGGGATCTGATGCCCTCTTCGGATGTCTGTGGGCACCAAGCACTCACATGGTGCATAGACATACATGCAGGCAATACCCTCACATGAAAAATGAAATGAATAAAACTAACAAAACTTATATAAATCCCAGCACCACTTGGGCAGCTCTTATATTTTACCAAGTTCAGATGAAATCATGAGATACAGCCTTATTCCCCTCTGCACCTCATCTTCTGTGTGCTGATTCTGAGGGAATATTTCCAGAAGACTCTAATTCTGGTCTCATCTAAATCATTGCTCATTTCCCAGTTCCAATTAACCAGTACTGATTGTATGAGTGAAGTTCCAGTCTCTGGCTAATCACAGGTATTCTTAGGCTCCAGCTGAAGACAGACACCAGATACCATGGATTATTAACTCAAAAATCACCAAATGCCCGAGATAGACTCCATGGTTCTTTATCTTCACAAGGCAGTCCTCCATCATCTACCTTTCTCTCTCAGCATTCCTTCCTTCCCGTTGATCACAGAAGAGCCACTGAGCTCTGATCAGCCAACGGTTTTTCCAGCTCAAAGTTCTAATGCCACCACAATCCTCCCCAAGTCACATGGTCAGGTCTGTCACAGCAATACCCCACCCCTGGCACCAGATTCTGTCTTAATCCTTTTTCTACTTCAATGATAAAACACCATGACCAAGCCAACTTATGGAAGTAAGGGTCTGTTTGGGGCTTATAGTTCTAGAGGCATATAAGGCCATCACCATCATGAGAGAGGTGTGGCAGTAGGCTGCCATGGTAGCAAGAAAATAATCTGAGAGTTCACATCTCACTTCACAGGCAGAAAGCAAAGCTAGCAAACTCAAAACGCCATGTGGCATTTGAGATCACAAATCCTGGCCCTCAGTGACGTACTTCCATCAGCAGGGCCACACCTCTTACACCTAGCCAAACAGGACCACAAACTGGAGTCCAAGTATTCAAAATATCTGAGCCTATGAGAGTGGCTGTCACTCAAACCACTATATACAATGAAAATATTTCAGTAAAATAAAAAAAATGCAGAGAATATGGAAAGAATGTCACCTAGAAGATGAGCACTGTGGGACAGTTAGTGTGCTTGATTTTCCTCAGAGAGAAATGGGAGGGAGAGAGAGGATGAAGGAACACACACAGAAACACATATACACACAGAGAGACACACACAGACACACACACAGACAGAGAAAGACAGAGACAGTGTCATAGATATATATATATATATATATATATATATATATATATATATATATATATATATATAGAGAGAGAGAGAGAGAGAGAGAGAGAGGTGAAGGAGGAAGTAAAAAACAGATCTTTTTCTTTCTTTATTCCTTAAAAATTCTTTGGAGACAGAGTCTAATGCAGGTGAGTCTGGCATAAAACTCAGTTTGCATCTTAGGTTTGCACTGAACTCCTGATCCTCTCATCTCCACCTCTCAAGTGCTGGGATTAAGGTGTGCAGCACCACACCAGACTCCTCTTATCCTATTAGTAACTGCCTCTGTTAACTGAATATACTAACACAGGACACATCTTGGCCTTACCAGAGTGTGTCACTTGAAACACATAAGAGGGACATACAGTACTGGAGGTGGCAAGCCATAAATCAGTGTGCCTGGACCTGCCTTTAAAAGAAAAAGAAGAGAGCCAACAGAGTTCATCATCAGCACCTGGAAGGATCTTTCACTTCTTGTACTGAGCACTCATGCTTCAGATTGGCTTTATACTGGAACTAAGCACTCACGGTGGTCCAAGTGCAGTCTATGGAGAAACAATCCGTAGCCCCCACTACGGAGTCCATATTCCAGGATTTACTGATAGCAACCTCAGGACTGCTCTCCACTTCTTTTCAATGAATCTCAGTTCCAGCCAATACCCCATCTTGCCTGGTACTATTGGTTGAGCTATCAATAGCCCCCATCTATAAATCCTGTAGAATGCACAGACACAGGACCCTGTAGTGAGGCACCCGTGACTTAGCAGCATCTAAAGGTTGACCACACTGAAGTTCACATTCAAGGGCAGTGAAGGATGTGAAACCGGGAGCTGTGGAGTTGGGGAACTCCGTAAGAACCACCACTAGAATGAAATGGGGTCACTCCTAAATGCCTTAGGCCATGGCACACTGTGGACAGGGCGCCCTCTCCCTCCTACCCTACCATCTCTCCACCTTGTCGACCCTGGGTTGTCCCCAGCCACCTGTTTTTGGACTCCTGAGATCATGTACCATCTGAGGACTCCACATGATGCCCTCTCTCAGTCGCCAGGGATTGATTTCAATCTCTGCCTCACCAGCTCTGGATGGATTCTTTCATCACTTTAACTTTTGGGTCTCTGTGAGCATAGGTGGCAGAACTCAGTTCACAGGGACACAAGGAATGACAGGTGGGTAAGAGATGTGGGGAGGCTTCACATCATACTGCACAGGAGATTCATGATTGGTCAATCACCTGTGGCTATTGTTTCCCATTTTTAAAGGATAGAAGTCCATATACCATTGTCATAAATACTTTAATCAGTGATCCACATGCAGTGAAGCTATTTTATTTCAATCAGCAGGACAACAACCAAAAAAAAATCCTTGGCACCACAGATATGGGTACTTCAACCTTCTCATTATTCTTTGCTTCTAAAGATCACAGGACCCACCCTTTCCAGCCCTTGGGATGACAGACTTCCTGCTCAGTAATACCTTGTATGCTAGAGTCAGGGCCTAGGTCTTATGAGCACCTCAGCAAGAGCCAAAGCTAGTAAGAGAATGCTCATTAATATTGTTTATAGATATGTGTTGCTGTCCAACCTGACTCCATATTGTTTATAGATATGTGGAGCTGTGCAACATGGGTCCACAGAGGTACAAAGATGCCATTGTGTGACCAGTACCTGTATCCAGAGTCTGGGCCAGCATGGTCTCAGAATAGGACTCTTGAGGGCCAAGAAGTGCAGGATGGGGAGGAAGGAGGCAGAGTTCCTGCTGGGAAGGGAGCTGGGCTGAGTCATTAAAGAAGGCAGCCAGGGAAGCTCAGCCATGTTCTCTGGATTCAGGGAGGCTCTGGCCACCTTGTATCCCTCCAGCCCTTTTTACCCAAAGGGACTTAGACTTGGGGTCACCTTGATAGCCTTTCAATTTTCAGCCAAGTAGAGGGTAAACTTGTGTTATGGGGGCACTAGTCTGAGAAATTTGGTGCAGCTGTACAAACACTAGCTCACAACTGTCTATGCCTGACCTAAGAACCTCATGCAGGCCACAGGTGTGGAAGGGGACTCCACTGTGCAGGGAGAGCTGGGGGTCCACTAGTCCTTTCATCAGACACTCTGATGACCAATACAACAGAGGATCCAATATCCTTTATTCCTAATCTCACACAGGTGATACACTGACATATCCCGTAGTGAACACAGAATCATGACCCCTGACAGGTAGCTAAGCTTTTCCAGCTTTAGGATAAACTGTAAAGCACAGGCATCAAGGCCCTATTCCTCGGGATCTTAGAATGAAATAAAGGAGGTGAGTTTGGGGTAGGAAGAAAGAAGAAGGTAGGAAGAAGGAGCAAGACACCCGAGAGTAAGAAGTGCCCTAAGGGAGCACAGCTGTCCCAGGTGCAGAATGCAGCAGTTCAGGTGACTGTGGGCTTGACTGTGGCTAGGAGACTCTTAGAGGAGGTGCGGTTTTAGGCGATCCAGAGCTACCACACAGTGACCCTACCCACATCTAGGGTGGCCTGCCAGACATTAGCAGCATTGAGTTGGATCCTAGAACATAATGTGGGCTCTGGAAATCAACAGGACTGCATGTGGAGAATTCCAGTACTTTTCTGAGTACCAGGAGCCAAGAAATCACCTTCCAGAGAAGGTGGCCAGGGCAGCCATGATTGTCTGAAGAGAGAGAGCAGAGCTAGGTATGGAAAGGGATTGAACTCAGTCTTCCCTTACTGGCTGGCCCAGACTGTCCCCACTCCACAGATGAGCACCTCACATTCTCTGGAGTCCTACAGGACTAGCAGTATTGGATGGTGCAGACATTGCAAGGCATTGTGTCTTTTATCTGGAGGTGGCAGCGAAAGAACACCAGATCCCAACAGCAACAACATCCAGCCCAATGATGGTAATACATTTGGCCATGAAAGATGGCCAGGAGGGGTGTGGCCAGTGCAACTTGTGGCCATAAAGGGCATCCTCTGAGGAGCCAGCAGAGACTCATTTTGTCACTCCATGACCTGCCTTGTCTGAGAGCACAGAGCCTGGAGATGCAGAGCCTGCTCCTGACTGTCACACTGTTTGTCCTGGTGGCTGTCCTACAAGCTCAGGATGACCTGCCCTTCCTCTCAGAAGAAAAGAAAGTGAGGCAGCGAGGGACGGTGGACAGGTGTATGTGGAAGGCTTGACTGCTGGCCAGTGTCTGAGGACTGGAGCTAGCACTCATGAGTGTTCAAGTCCTCTGAGTCTGAGCAGAGACTGCTGTTCTCCAGCACACATGGGCTCCTGAGCCACAGAGTTGGAGCAGGAAGGGTCCTAGAGCAGGGACACCCAGAACCATAAAGTCTCACTTGACAGGACCTTTGTTTGTTGTTTCATAGACTCCTAGGGATTTGGAGACTTTGGAGACAGATGCCATGTGTTTCTGCTGGGCCACTAATTTGTAGTCTAATATAATATTAAGGAGCATGGGTTTGGAGCATGGAACCTCACTAACTCGGGGGCTGTATCTTGGGTTCTGAGATATGTGTTCAGGCTACATTGCCTATGGGGACCTGGGGGAGACTTGAGGCTGCCTAGTGTGGGCTCAGGACTCTGTCTGCCCCAGCTCTCAGGTGTCTGGTTCGTGAAGGCTACAGTGAGTGATAGGAACCTGACAAAGCTGAGCCCTGAGGTATCATTCCCTAATAGAGTGTCATTTCCGGAACAAGGAACTTTGGAGATCAGGACTACCATCATGTGAGTATCCCCCATGTGCCTTTTCAACTTTCTCTTACCTCCTCTATCTATGTTTGGATACGGATGACTGAAAAGCCCCTTTCTCGGAGGGGCCACAGTCTCAGCACTCAAAAACATAGAAAGGGTTGATACAGGATTTCAGGGGACATTGTATTAAGGCTGATGAACCAGGTGACCTCAGTGGAGCTCAGGCATGTGTTCTGAAAGAGGATGCCTGTTGGTTTCCTGTTTTCCAGGTCTGAGGGCCAATGCATCAAGGTTGGACTCCGTATGCAGAGAACAGAGGAGCCTGGCCAATACAGCTCCTGTGAGTCTTTATCTCAGTTTCTTCTCCTGTTGCTGTCAAAAAACACTCTAATCAACAATTAGGAAGAAAGGGTTTGCTCTAGCTCACAGTTCAAGGTACAGTCCACAATGGTGGGGCTTTCCTGGCAGCTAGAGCATGAGGCAGATACTCATATTATGCCCATAGTCAGAAAAGAGAATGAATGCATTAATGCTAGTGCTCACCATATGGCTTCACCATTTTATATACTCCAGGATCTTCTGCTTATGGAATGCTCCTGCCCACAATTAAGATGATTCTTCCACAATCAATGAACATAATCAATATCATTTCCACTGTCATGACCGGTGGAATAAACTCACGTGATTCTAGATCACATCACATTATTAGCCAATAAGGTACCCTGGCTGCATGTGATTATCCCTTGGAAGGCAAGCTCCTGAAATTGTAGCATCTCTTCTATGATTACCTTTCAGGAAGATTTATCCAGTTAATTACCAGGTAACTTTAGAGATCAAAGGTAGTGTAGTTGGAGTTTTCTCCAGTCCTGCTTGGGCCCACAGCCACTCAGACCCAAATAAATACACAGAGACATATTACTTATAAACTGTATGGCTGTGGCAGGTTTCTTGCTATCTAGTTCTTTTTTTTTTTGTTTTTGTTTTTTTGTTTTTTTTCGAGACAGGGTTTCTCTGCGTAGCTTTGCGCCTTTCCTGGAGCTCACTTGGTAGCCCAGGCTGGCCTCGAACTCACAGAGAT